ACCTTCCTTGGTGCAGTAAGTTCACCCCCCTAAAATGTGTAACGAAAAGCACCAAGTGTGGATGCGATGAGGTGCGGCAAGCCTGTCTGAGAACCCTGGGAGATAAACAGAATAAATGTCATCCCCGTTGTCTTCATGGGGAAAAAGTTAAATGACTTGGGAAGAATCACATTGTAAGTAGAGAGGAAGTCAGTGTCTCCTTCCTTTGGGTGTGCTTGGTAACAAACATTTCTTGTTATTCATCTGTAGTGTTCATACGCAGAGACATCTGGGCACTTAAACTGTTGATAAAAAGTTAAGTCATTTTCTAAAGGATATTCTGATATGGTGAGTACTCAGCATTTAAAGTAATTTTTAGCATATTAAGTAATTTTCTAAAGGATATTCAACAAATATGGTAACTCAGCTTCACCACCAAAAACTCCCTCAGGTGATATGTTAATTTATGATGATTTGGTAATGTTCTATGTAACTTTTTTATATGGAGTACTGTAATGCAGTTCAATGTTTTGTTATACTTCTTTCTCAATGTTTATTGTCTTCCTGGCAATTTTATTACATAAAGAATGATGTGGCAGGAAAAACAAAACAAAACAGTATTTGAAATGCTCTAGCACTGTTTCTTTAAGAATATTATTTCTTTTTTTAAAAAAATGAGATACGAATATTAAGTTCTTTTTTACATTGATCTAGTACAAGAATCTGGTATTCTTATTCAACTGCAAATCAGAAAGTTAATAAACCTAGAAATCTGAAAAATTCTTAATAAAGCCCTTTAAAAAAATCTTATATATTAAAACATCGGTATCGCAGGAGATGGTTATCTTCAATATAAAAAGAGATTACTATAGCAGCAATCACTGCTTGGCAGCAATTAATATCAAAAATGTTATTGTTGATTATAATTTAACTTATTCCACAAAATGACTCCAATCTTATAAAACAGCCCAGAATGTAAAATGGGAAAAACTGCCTTTTCACCCACCAATATGTATGCATAGAGGAGGAACCATGTGAGGTAACAGTGAATGAAGACTTTTTTTTTTTTTTCATGTGTCATCATCTGGCAGTAAATACCTAAGGCCACAGGCCCTGTTAATGTTTACAAAGATCAAGAAGCTGCTGATAGTAAAACAAAATCTCATAGTTACCTTTGACAAGTTAACATAAGGACATCAGTGTGTGG